TTCCCACAAAGAAGGAATTGAGATTCAGAAACAGCTTGTAGGACACCGCTCTTCCTAAAAACAGCACTTTCCTGAAGGGATGACCCAGCCGCCAGGCCAAAGCCTCTTGGGTTGGGAGGCAGCCAAGAGCAAGGTTTGGTGTTTACACACCCACCATGGGGTGGGGTTGTCACAGCAACTCACCCAGCACAGTTCAATCCCCCCCACCAGCTTTGCCCTTCTCTCTTGTGGCTTCAAGGTTCTTGGTGACACCACTTGTTCTTTTTATTTTCTTGCCAGTTCCTCAACTTCTTACATGTTTGCGAATCTGCGGCAGTACTTGACATGTGTGGGACTGAACAACCTTCACTCTTCCGAACTTCCCAGACCAGGAGATAGCAAACAGGTCCCTTAAGCTGCCAGAACCAAAGCTACCAGGCCTGTATGCTAAGTCTACAAGCGCACACCCAAGACCATGGTTCTTGTCATGTTTGTTTTCTTGGTCTCATAAAATTATGCTTTCTAAAGCCCATGGGAAGTTAGAAATAGGGAAAGGAACTATTCTTGGCAGGCCTGCTGAAAGCTCAAGAAGTGACTATTGATCCCAGAATAGCAAGGGGAAGGACAAAAAGACTGTAAGAGGGAGATACAAGAACTTGGAATTCAGGACAGTGTAAGTTCTCTAGAGTTGAAGCAGCTTCCCACACCCCGGGGAGTAAAAGTCATCAAGACTCTGCTCTGAAAAGTGACACCACAACTGCCTGGCTAGGGTTGAAGAGAATTTAGTATTTTCTTCTTTTTAAAAAATAGGGTCTTAGGCCAGGCGTTGGTGGTGCACGCCTTTAGTCCCAGCACTTGGGAGGCAGAGGCAGGCGGATCTCTGTGAGTTCGAGGCCAGCCTGGTCTACAAGAGCTAGTTCCAGGATAGCCTTCAAAGCTACACAGAGAAACCCTGTCTTGGAAAACCGCAAAAGAAAAAAAAGCTGAATGGCCAATACCTAAGCAGGAGGTATAGGCGGGATTTCCTGGGAGAGGAAGGAAGAGGAGGAGAAATGTAGGCATGCAGGAGATGAGGAGATGCCAGGAGACGTGGAGAGGAAACAGGAGGTACAAGATGGAAGAGAGGTCATGCCACGTGGTAGAACGTAGATAATAAAAATATGGGTTAATTTGAGTTGTAAGAGCTAGTTAGGAACAAACCTAGGTTATAGGCTAAGCTTTCATAATTAATAAGAAGTCTCTGTCATTATTTGGGACCTGGCTGTCCAGACAGAAAAACACTTGTTACAGTGGGGGCCATTTTCATTCAAAGCACCACATTCAACTCTCTGCCCCCCATAGGCTTGTAGCCATACCATAATACAAAATGCATTTAGTTCTTCAAAAGCCCTCATAGTCCATCACAGTATTAGCACTGTTTAAAAGTTCAAGTTTAAGGTCTCCTTTAATCCTCTATAAAATCGAAAGGCAGGTCACATACCTCCAACATACACTGGCACAGCATATACATTACATTACCATTCCAAAAGGGAGGAAAGGGAGCAGAGTGAGGGCACACTGGACCAAAGCAAGACTGAAAACCAGCTGGGCAAACTCCAAACTCTGCATCTTTATATCTGATGTCAAAACATTCCACATCTCCAACCCTGTTCAGCTTTGTTGACTACAACACACTTCTTTCTCTTGGGCTGGTTCATCTCACTGTTAGCAGCTTTCCTTGGCAAGTATTCCATGGCTCTGGCATTTCCAACATCGTGGGGTCTCCAAGGAAATCCAGGCTTCACCTTTACAGCTTCACAGAATGGCCTCTCTGGGTGTCCAAACAGGGACATCCCTGGCACATGCCTGGCCTCAGTGGCTTTCCTTTGTTACAGAAGCAAATTTCATAGCTCCTTTCTTGTATCCTTGATTCTAAATTCAGAACCACTTGGCTGAAGCTGCCAAGTTCTCCTGCTTGCTGGGACTGGAACATGACCTCATTCAAATGTTCACCAGCTCTTTGTTTTCAGTGGTCTCCTTCACCACCTAAGCTTAGCTGTCCTGGAACTGAAATCCACCTGCCTCTCTCTGCCTTCTGAGTGCTAGGATTAAAGGCGCACTACCACATCCAGCTCTAAGCTTTTCTCTAATTGCTTTTCACAAATTGGAAGCTTAGCTTGGTGGGGTCTTGCCCCAAGATCACCATTCCATTTATTCTATCTAGAATCAGGCTTTTTAAAAATCTTTTTATCTCCTTGAACACTGGATTTAGCTCCATTAAATTCCCTTTTCTCCTCAAACTATGCATTTATATTTTTCCTTGCTTAGCTTTCTCCTTTTCATTATACATCTGCATAAGACTTGCCAGGAAGCCTGGCATTGGTGATGTACGCCTTTAATCCCAGCACTGGGGAGACAGAGGAAGGCGGATCTCTGTGAGCGCGAGGTCAGCCTGGTCTACAGAGTGAGTTCCAGGACAGCTTCCAAAGCTACAGAGAAACCCTGTCTCGAAACCCGACTCCCCTCCCCCCCAAAAAAGACTGGCCACTAATAGCCACATGACACAGTCAATGTTAGGCTGTTTTGAAATCCTTTTACCAAAGCTTTTAATCCACATCTCTTCAATTTAGCCTCAGGCAGATCTTTTTGGACCAGAGCAGAAAGCAGCCACATTCTATGCCAAGCTATCACAAGAACAGTCCACGCCACTTACTAATATTCTCCTCTGAAAACTCTTGAACCAGGCCCCCACAGTTAAATCACCCTCAGCACCACTGTCTTCCATGCTCCTACTAGGATGGCCCATTAAGCCCCACTTAAAATGTCCAATTGTTTTCCTGGTCCAAAGTCCCAAAGTGTTCTATGTTCCTCCAAGCAAAAGCACGGTCTGGCCTATCACAGCAATGCCCACTCCTGGTACCAACTTCTGTCTCAGGGTTTTATTGCTGTGAAGAGGTACCATGACCTTTGGGGACATTTTCTTTCTTTTTTGGTTTTTTGAGACAGGGTTTCTTTGTGTAGCCCTGGCTATCCTGGAACTTGCTCTGTAGACCGGGCTGGCCTCAAACTTAGAGATCCACCTGCTTCTGCCTCCTGAGTGCTGGGATAAAAGGTGTGTGCCACCGCACAGTTTATGGGGGCCATTTTCATTTAAACCACCACACTAGGCAAGCACTTTACCAGCTGAGGGAGATCCCTAGCTCTTGTTAGACTTTTTGAAACAGAATTTGCTGTGGAGCCCAGGCCCCTGCCAGGTACTCAACTGTGTAGCCCAGGCTGGCCTCAGACTTTAAGATTCTCCTGCCTCGGCATCTTGAGTGCTTATTGTTGGCCACTATAGTTTCCTCAGTAGTTGTGGGTATAAATGGGTTCAGTTTTATATTGCCTCACTTAAAAATACTTGCAGTTTGATAGACAGTGGTGGTGCAATCCTTTAATCCCAGTACTAGGGGGACAAAGGCAAATAGATCTCTGAGTTCAAGGCCAGCCTGTCTGATAGTGAGTTCCAGGACAGCCAGGACTATACAGAGAAACCCTGTCTCAAACAAAGCAAAACTTGTAGTTCTAAATTGTATTTACAAAAGAAAGAAAGAAAAATTGGTCTGTGGGAGTACTCTTTTGTCTTCTCTGTTAGCATCCATACAATGTATTTCTTTTGAGGACCAGTGAGATGATTCAGTTGGTAAAGAACACTTGTCAAGTAAGCCTGAAGACCCGAGTGTGATCCCTGAATCCCACTTAGTGGAAGGAGAGCGCAAACTCCACAACCATGGTCTGACACGGCATACAGGGCAGCATGAATGTACTCATACACACACACACACACACACACACACACACACACACACACACACACACACACAAATACAACTTTCACCCATATTCTTTATTTT